ATTTATCTAGCATAGTCAGAAATACATTAATCGAAGCTAGAGAAAAGACGCAACTGTTAGTAGGTTTGGGATCAACAAAAACCTCCATCTCTCCATCAGAAAACGGAAACTACCTTTATAACTCTGAAATAGGTAACTTTTTAACTACGCAGGCACTGCAATCGAACGAAAGGAGAACTTCAGTCTGGATTTTCTGCAAAGACGCTCACTGGAACGGCCAGAAGTACAAAACTCTATATTTTTATTGTTTTTATTTATTATATTTGTATAAATATATAAAGTAAGAGTTTTTAGTAATTTAATGTACAATTGTATTGATTACCCATGGTTTTGATACCTTTTTGAATTGATATAAATGTTAATATATTAACATTGTTCTAATGTTTCAATACCCGGAAAAAACGTCTTGCGTCACTTATCGTGTTTTGAAATCAAGGACACAAATTAACGGTTAAAATATGCTTTGCATATGGGCTTGACATTAGAAAATTCCACAGTCATTACATTGGACGAATCATGTTGGTTAACACCAAAAGCACCAAATAAAGAATGCACTATTCAAGTGACAGAGTCCTGTCTAATTTCATTAAACATCAATTTACTTTGATCCATGGCAAATCAATAGAAAAAGTAGTTTGAAATTTAAATAAATATTTCCTATAAACAATACGAAGGAATTTATGAAGTTTATAAACGCACTGGCTACAACGTTGTGTTATCAATACGTATAACGTTTTTCGTCCTAGGACGCTAGGCACGAGCCCGGGATTGTTTTCACATTACTTCAGGCTAGACCTAGAGGTTACGGCATTATCACTTAGATAAATAAAATCCATTGATGATTTGGCGGGATTTGAACCCGGGACCTCAGGGACCGAAGTCCCGCGCTCTAACTACTAGACTAGCTCGGTCCCCCGTATGCATATAACATATAAAACAACATATTACACAATAATTTAACCCTTTAAACACATATTTTACCAAAAAGCGAAGGATAATACCCCCGCTGCACAAAACCTGCATTCTAAGAAAATTTCCGTTTTCCTAATTAGGTTTACACTAAAATATCTCAATAAAAATATCACATTTATTCCATACTAGCTGTGTACCCGTTCTACGCACGGGGATCTTATAATAATCAGTTGAAACCTTCTTAAATAAAGAACAGCAATTGGTTTGCATATTTTCAGATATGCTGGCCAAACTATTTATTATACATAACTTCATTTTATGATGTTTGTTGTTGTTCCGGATCGGTATGACAATCAATAAAAGGTTAAATTACCTGTGTCCGCCGGTCGATCCTAATGTATCCTATTACAGGAGATGCATTTCGGCGAAATTAAATCGCCATCAGCAGTCCTAATATAAGGTCTTGAGCTTCCCCATTAGGTGCGTCTTGGAGTTTTTGAAACACATACACGAACTGTACACTTATATACATGACGAATAAAACATAAATACATGGTAGGCCTACTTTTATTTTTACTATGGACAAATAGACGTGCGTCGGTCGTGTGCCGAGTCTCGACTGAAAACGCTCTTTTAAAAAATGTAAGTTTCCCAGGAATGTACAACACTGATTCAAAGTCTATTTCCCGGTTATCAAAACTCAAGAACAATTTTATACCCAAAGAATCTCTATTTTCATTTACTGTTACCCTACATATTATTGCACTTGCGATTAATTAAATCCGTTATGTAAGGAAAAACGTTTTTAATCTTAGTTGGTTTGGATTTGCTTTCAAAACGTGATCGGAAATGGTTGCGGTATTTGTAATCAACATCCAATGTATACATATCAGTTAGACAGCTAGAAGAAAAATAATCTTGATTTGAACAGCTGTTCGTTATTTCATAGAAGAATATGTGCTAAACATTGGGAGAAAACTTTACAAAAAATCGCACAAAATTGGGTTTTTAAACGTCCGTCATTTTATTTACAAAGTGGTGACGCCATATTTTAATGGCTAAAGACAATCTCGCCAATCCAGTGAATACATTAAAATGATTTGGAACTTGATAGGTACTCTAGTTTTTCAGGAGTAGGCCGCGTAAAATGGCTCTTGGGTCGTAACAGACAGGAAGACAGACAGAAATTTAGATGAGACTTGTTTCGGTTTCTCTAATGTATAAAACGTAAAAATAACCTAAAAGTTTATGATTCTGAGCAATGTACAGACAAAACTCTAATTTTATTTATATAGATTTAAATAACACTAGTTTAACAAGTTTATTTATTTATTGACGGACAAACCATTACATACAGAATACAATTTTTGTGATACAACTATTGAGTTGATGAGTGATGAATAATAACAAAAGTGCAAACAGTAATAACAATAACAAAATGAATAACAATGAAGTAAAAATAAGGACGAAGATAACAATAAAGAGCAATGAGGATAACAAAACATAAAAAGGATTTAACAAATTTAATAAGAGATTGACTTGTCTTATAGTCTTGAAGAAGATATGTCATCTTCACTGACCAAGTGGAAGGGAGCTGATCAATCTTCTGAAACCAGTGGTGCCACTGTTGAAGAAATCGATATCAGGCGGCAGAGAGTTTCCCAGGGCTTGTATGCGAACGATGGCACTGTGCTGTTCGTAGAGCGTAGCATGGTGGGACCTAGCAAACAGCTCCCTCGATCTGGTACCCCCTCCTGGGACGTGGAAACTAATCCGCTCAAGCAACTCCGGACAGAGTATCTCTCCGTTGACCAGTCTATATAGGAACATCAGATCAAAGATTTTCCTTCTAGACACCAGCGTAGGAAGATTCAAAACAGCTGCCAAGGCGCATACTGGAACATCCGCGTAGCGGTATCCAAGGCGAAGACCCACTAGGCGGATAAACCGAGTTTGTATTGACTGGAGTCTTTCCTGAAGATAGTGTTGGTAGAGAGACCACACTACTGAGCAGTATTCTAAGTGTGATCTGACGAGGTGACAATAGAGGGTTTTCAGTGCCAATGGTGACGAAAAGGTTCGTGAATATCGGGTAATGAGACCCAAGTTCTTATTTGCTTTTGCGCTTATATAGAGTACGTGTTTTTCTGGACTCAAGGAAGCAGTGCACATAACACCCAAGTCCTTAATCTCGAAGACTCTGTCGAGGTTGCATCCATTCAAGCGATAGTTGTGGAAAACAGGAGCCAAAGTCCGGTGAAAAGTCATGATGACACATTTTGAAGTGTTCAGAGCCATAGAGTTCTTGGCACACCATCTATTCACAGCAGAAAGACTATCCTGGAGTTCATAGAAGTCATCGATAGATTTGATGGTTGAATACAGCTTGATGTCGTCGGCGAACAAGAGGTGCTTGACATGAATGACTCTGGAGATGTCGTTAATAAAGATATTGAAGAGTACTGGGCCGAGATGTGAGCCCTGGGGGACGCCAGATGTAGCAGAGATCGATCTTGAGGTACAGGAGGCAAACTTCACCACCAGTTTCCGGCCACAGAGGTAAGACGAAAACCAGTCCAACAATGGGCCGTGGATCCCGTGAGACGACAGTTTAGCAAGAAGGTGAGGGTGGCTGACCCTGTACTTAGGTACACTTACTTAGGTACAAGTACTTAGTACAAGTAGTAAGTAATTAAGTAAGTAGTAAGTAAGTAAGTAGTAAGTAATTATAGTAAGTAGTAAGTACTCAGGTACAAGTACTTAGGTTTACTGTGACAGGGAGGGTAAAAACGCGTTTTTAGTCAAATGTTAAATAGTTTAGTATGAAATAAATGTATTTTCCAAATTTGATCAAAATATTTTCATGAACAAGCAAACTAAAACAATTTTTCTTATTCTCCATAAGAATAACATGGGAATTTTAAATTTAAAATTTTTTGAAATTTTCTCCGTAACTTTTAGGCGCATGACAACGCTTCAATATACTAAATTGTTTGTTTTTTGAGCCCTACACAATTGTTTCGAAATAAATTGCTATATTTTATGTTTTAGGGTAAAAAATGGGAAAACCCAATTTTTACCTCATACAACCCCCCCATAAACTCCCTATTGTTCCTATTGTCCGATCATGCTGGTTCGCGAGCTCATTTGAATAAATGTATGTTTACATGTTTGTACTAAATTCCATCGAAATTGGATCATTTTTGCTCGAATTATCGTGCTAACGGACATAAGTATATAAATTTGAACAGGTGGTGTTTTTGGCCTCTTGGGACCTCAAAATGAAAAATTAAATCGGTCCCGGGTCCAGGTCTTACCATGAGTACTACGGTAATAGCTTATTCCCTATATTGGAAATTCACTAAAATTTAATACACTAATTCGTATTCCTTTAAAAGCTAATTTAAATAGTAAAGGGAATGAGACATTTTTTAATATGTCGGTGGAAAATAAACATATGATATTTAGGAACCCCACTCCCTAAAAATCTTATCCCGATGTTCCCATCAGATGGGTATGCGAACTCATTCAAATTTATTTTAACGATACTCACAGTTTTATGGTGTCAGATGCGTTCACAAGTAAATGCCTACGCTATTTTGCGTTAACTCAAAGAAAACTTAAGCCGTTCCCCCAGTGGTTATTAATATGAACTTCCATGACAAAAACACATTGATGAGTTTTCTGAGTTATGAGGACCACCGTTTAGCTTTAAACGGGCATTGCAGTCTCAAACTGGCACTGAGAGACAGACAAGATTTGAATTTTCCTGTCTTAAAAATAAGTTCCTTGTTACGATTATGTAAATTGCAATTTCAAAAACAGTAAAACAATGTCGATGGCTATACACACACATGTCCCAAAGCATGCAGGCGTTTTGTAGACATCATGCACTTTAAATCGAGGTGCGATAGTTTTCTCATTCGTGCATAATGTTTAGTTACAGCAAAAAACCAGATTTTTGAATGAACGACGGGTAGTGTAACTCAAAACTCAACGCTACCCCCACTGTGTGTGTGTGTGTGTGTGTGTGTGTGTGTGTAGAGATCAGCTGACTCTAGGAAGGGTTCGTCAGTCAGTTTCAGTGTGTGAGAGTGCCGCGGTCCGAGCACATGTGCAGGATTACAAACTGTGCCCGACATCCCTGGATAAGGTGAGAACTTCTGTCAAGTACAGCAATGCTTACTGCTTAGTCATATTTCTTTACTTGCTCACTGAAATCATTAACAATTTTTTTCGGTAAAAAATGTTATTAGTTCAAAATATAATTAGGTAAAATAATATGTATGTTTTCTTTCTTGATTGAAGGATGCAATTAACCCATAATTGTCGTATATTTAATGATCTACGAATACATAGGCAACTAATTAGTTCTTCTCGTCCCTTAAAAATTCCTTGAAATTCGAATTTGTTTAAAGATAAGCTGTTTTGGCTGTCTAAAGGGTTGTGATAGTTTCTTGACTGAATGATAATAATTAAAGATCTAGTCAATCTGTTTTGACCAAGTAAAAAAATAAAAACACTGGAAATCTACCAAATAAAAAAAATAAAAAAGTCTCCAAACTTTATCTTTGGTTCTTATCTTTGGTTCTTGGTTGGTTATCTTTGGTATCTTTAGTTCACGTTAACGGCATTTTCCTATTTTCAGTACCTATTCAAAATCTGCATTAATGGTACATCTTGTTCACGTAAATGGCAAGTTAACTTGTAGTATCCAAACTCACACATATTAGACCTATAGTTGGTTCACATAAATGGGATTGCTATTTGGAGTATTTACAAAAAAGGTGCATCAGCCTAGTTCCAGTGACCCTAATTATTCATTTTGTAAATTATGCTCAATGATATTAATCCGATTGTTCTTCTTATTTTCTCTGTACGGTATTTGTAATGTTCTATTTTAGATGATTCGTTGACTAACATATTTTGCGACTCTTGTTTACCTTTCTTATTATCTCGCAAGAAATGCCATAGCGACCTGTTAACCTATAAAACCCATGTTAAATTTCTAAAAGTTGAAATTCACGTAGGGAAGAGCCCTGTGGTCCGATTTGTACCATTCTAGATTTATACCTTCCCATGGTTGGTTACTATCACTGTGCTAAATCTCATGTAGATAACTTCAGCCGTTCAGGAGGAGTAATTGTAAAACAAAATCAGGAGTAGAGTATGAGTGGTAATGATAATGGTGATGATATCTTCAAAAATAATATCATTTTAGGTCTTCACTTACAAAATAAAGATAGGTTAGGTGACTAAGGCGTTATCAACATTTTAAAATGACATTAAATCAAACTAGTGTGTTTAAATAAAGAAGAACCTATATAAGAAATTTGAGTTCTGACAGTTCGTTCTGTATAATAATATTTAAAATCACATAAAAAACTACGTCAGTTAATCAAAATTTTTAAAGAAACGAAAAACATTATTTTAGATTGCTAAAGATAAGGATTAATTGATTAAGATTGATTATACTGAATTACTGGTTGGTTCACAACTTTTTCATTAGTCCGTTTTAATAATTGAACTTCGTTAGTTAAAAGTTAAAAAAGGTAAGTTAATCAAACAAATATTTACACAAATACTAGCGAATTCCCCATTTAGGGAAAATGAAAATTACTTAATAGATTTAGAACAACATGGTTCTCAAGCAGGGTACATCAACAGTCACAGCAGTTATTGAATTTATTCAAAGTAATAAATGCAGTGGATAAGGGAGGGAAAGTAATTGGAATTTTTCTTGATTTTGATAGTGTATTCCATAAAAAGCTTATGGACACTTTATCAGGGCCGGATTTCCCAATAGGCCCAGTAGGCCCGGGCCTATGGGCGCAAGGTACCAGAAGGCGCACGGCCGAGAGTATTTTTTTATACCTAGGCTATCTAAAAATAAAAATAAATAGTCATAGTTGATAAAAAAAACTCCAAAGCATTGTGATTCTGAAGTTCATAAGAAGAAAGAAATGTTATGAAATTTAAACTATATTTTCAGAATTACGCATCAATTTCGTTACAAAATTGGTAACGAACATTGGTTATACGGGAGTAGGCTGTAGGGATGTTGACGTTGACGAGCGCCCAAGGGGTACTCATCGTAATGCCACTGCACTGCCACTATGCTGGGTCGGGCTCGGCACTACTGATCAGAGTGATAAGGGGCGCATGCGTGCTAGACATGACATTGTTACCACCCTCACATCACAAAACAAAAGTTATGGTAACTAATCTTTTGATTAGTTTACAACTATCTGCAGGATCAAGTTAAATATATCATAAGTTTTTTTTTAATATTAAAACAACAATAATTTATTTACCTTTAAAATTAACGAAAAAAATATTAATCTCAGTTTGCATTCGATTTTAGAAAAAATTCAATACCCTCCAAAGAACCATTAATGCTGTCATTTTCTCCTCAGGCCTAAGGATCGGTACGGTTGGCCGGAATATTGCTCTGTTTTGCTTTGGAAATATAACCTAGATGCAGTACGACCATGGATTAAATATATCTCAAGTCGACTTCTCATAACATTGTTAATTCAAAATTTTTCCATGTGTAGTTCATGTTGGTGACACTGGACGTTAGTTTTGACGTAATTTTGTTTCTATTATTTTAGGGTTAGTTCTATAATGTGTGTTTTAATTTCTTGTAATATAAACAGGACACGACCTATTGTTGATGATTAGATCGTTTTATTTTGGATAAACTAGATTTAAACATAGATAAACATACCCCTTAAATAATAAGAATTGTTTTCAGCTAATCCAAAATAATGACAAATCTACTAAAGGAGTAGGCCTACGTATGTTTAATCTATGGTGTCACGTACTGTATGGAGTTCATGTTTTTGGGCCTGGAATAATTGGAATCAATAGCCATGTTTTTTGCAGGAATGCTCGGTGGGTTCAGTTGTTTTGTTTCAGTCCCACCCCCACGGCCACAAACATGAGCAATTATTAAAAAAAAGCATAAAATTCCTAAAAGTGTTTAAGACGGTATTTTGTTAATGCGAAACAAGTCAATTCTAAAAAAAAAACTTGCAATGATTCCAACGAGGAGTGGTATTCAAGCAATTAACTTAGGCCTATGGGCATGATATAGTTTTTAATAAAGGTTTGAAGGAAAGTAACTGTGACCAGACTAGGGGGCGGAAAATTATTTGGGCCTAGGGGCGCAAAAATGCTAAATCCGGCCCTGCACTTTATCAAAATTAGGTATTCATGGCAAAGAATGAAATTGGTTTAGATCCTACAGTACCTCACTCGCAGGCAACAATATGTTGTGACAGAACATTAAAAATCTGATTATTCAAGTAAATATAATTACATTCGAAAATTCAATTCACATGCAGACAGTCCACCATGGAGGTCCGCAGGGGTCGGTCATGGGTCCCTCTTGTTCCTAATATACTTGATGAGTCTGCTAGACTTTATGCCTCTGGGCTTGTCTGTATGCTGATGATACCAATATTACCGTTAATGGAAATTCAAAAGAAATATTGGAGCATCATCATTTGTCAGTCTCTCCATCATAAAACAATTTTTAGATAGCAAAAACTTTCTTTTAAACCCTAAAAAATCTAACATTGTATAATTTTCTACAAAACAAAACAAAAGCAAAATAAATACAGACATTATCTTAAAATTAAATGAAATGAAATGCTTTATTGTCGTTAAAACTAAGTACAAAGTTCATGACAATCGTCAAAAGAAAAAGAAAAAGAAAACAATCAAGATGGCTCTGGCAACTAAAATAACTAATACGCCTAAAACCTAAAACTCTAAACCAAAGTACTCTTCATGTTTCTACAGGCAAGCCTGGATTAGAGTAGTTTTTAAAACTTGTTTAAATTTTGAAACACACAGGTTTTTTATGGATGCAGGCAAGAAATTGTACATTTTTACACCTTGGTACTCTATTTTGAGTGGCTGTATACTTATGCCTTAGTGTAGACGGATTATCTTTAGATCTAGTACAATAGTTGTGAACATCAGATATCTTTTCAAAGTGAGAAATCTTTTCTTTTACATACAACAAACTTGCCAAAACGTACAAGGATGGAAATGTGAGAATGTTAAGACCCACGAAAAAAGGCATACAGTGTGTTCTTCTATTCACACTACAAATTAACCTCACCGCCTTCTTTTGTAAAGTAAAAAGCAACCTGTTAGCATAAAAACTGTTGGCTCACAGTAAGGTACCATAGGACAAATAGCTATGAATGTGGCCATAATATATACAAATAAGGACATCATCTGAAACAGTGGACATAAGTGCTCTTATCATAAATACGTCTTTTATACTTATAGATTATATTATATTTTTATTATATATTATATATGGACGTAGTTTGAAATAGTTTTTAAGGTTAACCACAGACTGCAGGACTTCCAAAGCAAAACTAGAATTTATATTTTGTTTCAATCAAAAACAACAAATTGTTGTAATAGTTAAATTTATTTACCTTACATCGTATTTTACTACATTATCATGTATTTTTGGTTACAGTTCGGTGTGATGAAGTGAATGTTTGAAAGTGATTATTCACAGTGGAGTTACCTGTTAAATTACCATATTATCATGTAATTTACAGTGTGTATAAAAATTCATTTGTAGTGTTTTCTGTTGATTGGTTAACTTTCATATTTTAACTAAATTTAAAATTAAATGCCACCAGTAAGACGAAGAACTGTGAGTGGCTGGAGGGAACGCAAACGTGACCACATGCATCAACCTCCCAATTTGACGGATACAGAGTGGCAGTACCGCCGTGGTGATACATCCAATCTCGGACAAATGAACGTTAAATGTTTACATTGTGGTGGCTTACATTTCTTTGTTGCCATAAATGAAAGGTTCGATTACCTCATTTGCTGAATTCACCATATACGTTCAGGAACTTATCGGAAACTCCCAATCTTAAAACAGGGCTGTGAGGCTTGGATCCAGAAATTATCTGGATAAAATACGTCAATTCAATTCCGCCTTTGCCATGGTCATCTCTGAAGCACATTTTGACGAGAGGGTCACACAGGGGAACTATAATTTCAAGATCCATGACAAGTTTTACCACCGAGTAGGTAATCTAATTCCTCAAGAAGGTCATGATCCTGAATACGCACAGATCTATAAGTACGACGTTGGCACTGGAACCC